TGCATTTTGTGACCACTGCACAGTCCTGGACAAGTGGCTGTCCTCTTTAGTCACCAGGTCCGCATGTGTGGGGCCAGGTGATCACAGTGGGGCAGCACAGGCACTACAGAGGAGCTTAGCTCAGTGGTTCTCAACCTTCTGGCCCTTTACATACATTTCTTCATGTTGTGACCCAACCATAAAATTTTTTTCGTTGCTACTTCATGACTGTAATGTTGCTACTGTTATAAATCATCATGTAAATATCTGATATGCAGGATGGTCTTAGGTGACCCCTGTGAAAGGGTCGTTCGACCGCCAAAGGGGTCGCGACCCACAGGTTGAGAACCGCTGGTTAGCTTTTTAACTGAGGCCAAGGTGGTTCTCAAGCTGGAAGAGGCAGAAGAATCACCTGGAGGGCTCGGAAAACTCATTGCTGGGCCCCTCCCAGAGGTTCGGATCTAGTAAGTGGGTCTCGGTTGGGGCTTAAAACCTGCAGGTCTAACAAGTTCCCGGGTGATTCCTATGCTGCAGGTCTGGGAACCAGAGAACCATTGGCTTGGGAGAAGCAGGCAGATTGTCTCTGAGATGGGAAGTGTGAGGCAAAGGCAGCGTGGAGGTGGAGGTAGGAAAGAAATCAGGAGCACACAGGCACGTGGACCTGAGCCGTACGCTCGTAGGAGGTTAAACTGGCCGCATGGGTCACAGCCCTCCTCCTCCTGGGAGGCCTCAGAGCGGTGGAGAGCACACCGATGTGAGGAGCTTAGGATTGTCATCTTGGCTATAAGCCTGGTTCTGCTACTGTCTTTGGACTTTTCTTTGTCTCCATTTTCTCAACTGGAAAATGGGGATACAGGTCTCCACAAGCAAATCTATAATGCTGTCAGCATTAAATGGGAACGTAAACTTGCTTGATAAATTACAGCACTCTTTCTACATGAACATAAGGGAGGAAAGAGCACTGAGAGTGACTCCATCCTCTTATCCACACACATTTACAGGCCTCCATACACCCCAACTCGAGAGCACAGGCCCACACTCATTGTTAAAAGGAGGTCAGATTTTGACTGGACACGTGTACATGCTGACTCCTTATTGGACTAGGAGTTCTTGAGAACTTTCGTGAATCATAGATTTTCTGTTGTTGTTTTTAGATAGCGTAGAAGGGAGGGGGAGAGACAGAGAGAGAGAGAGAAACATCTATGTGAGAGAGACACATCGACTGGTTGCCTCCCACATGCACCCCCACCAGGGCTGGGGATCAAGCCTGCAACCAAGGTACATGTCCTTGACTGGAATCTAACCTGCGACCCTTGGTGCATGGGCCGATGCTCCAGCCATGGAGCCAAACCAGCCAGGGCAATGTGAACCTATGTGTTCTGGGCCCTGCATGCCTAAAACTGCTTGACACACAGTAAGGCCTTAATAAGCAGTTGACTGTCTCACAAGGATTTACCAAAAAAGGAAAAGCAAGTGAGCTCTCTGGCGAGCTCGGTGCAGGCCTCATGGTGCCGGCTGGTGTGCTCACTTAGAAGAGCATGTTGAAGGCTGACCACTGACCTCCGGAGAAAGATGTGACATGTCCTCAGCACATCCCAGTTGCTGGAGCACCAGAGAGCTCTGGCCGCATCACCTGAGGACTCTGCAGTGACCTCACTCTACAACCTGCTGCTGATTATAATGGTTCGCTGGGGCCTGGGGCCCACGCCCGGAGAGCTGGAGAACCCTGAAAGCATGAGCGGTCTGGCCAGCGGTAGGGGTTCTGGCCTCCCATTGACTGCAGTCCGCATCGTTCTAACACCAGGCAAGCTGTCCTAGCCAGCTGTTGTTAGACACACTTTTCTTGTGGTTCTGCCTTTTTAAAGAAATTTCTTAGATGAGAAGTGTATGAATGAATAGTCTAAGTCAGTGGTCGGCAAACTGCGGCTGGCGAGCCACATGCGGCTCTCTTTGGCCCCTTAAGTGTGGCTCTTCCACAAAATACCCACTTCTACGCATGGGCCACGAAGTTTCAATCACACTGTACATGCACGCCTGCACGTGGTATTTTGTGGAAGAGCCATACTCAAGGGGCCAAAGAGCCGCATGTGGCTTGAGAGCCGCAGTTTGCCGACGACTGGTCTAAGTAAACATTTACTTGTTACTCCCCACCGCAGAGACTGAGCACCACTGGAGACAGCTTTGTGGAATACTGGAGTTTTCCTCCCACCGTGAGACCCAGAGCCATGACCGAATGTCCTTCTCATCTCCAGAATGGAGAGTTTTCAATGTAATTTTGGCTCCATAATCCCTCAAGTGAGAATGGAACCAAAATCAGAAACCACTGTTTCTCAAAGTTCCTGATACTTATTCCTACTTGCTTCCTGGGGAATGTGGTATACCAACTCCAGATCTCAAATCTGCAGGTGGGATGAGTCAGTCACGTGAGAATGGGAAGTTACGACTTTGATGCTGGGGTCCAGCCCCAGCAGGTCCAAGGATCCCCAAAGGTGTGGATGGAGTCGGCGAAGAAGGAATGACACGGAGACAGCGTTCAGTTGATCAGCAGCCTTGCCAGGATCTCTAGCCACAATCTCCAGCCAAGTTCTGTGTCCATGTTCTCTTGCTAGGTTCTCCAGCCAGGTTCTCCAGGTTCTCCAGCCAGGTTCTGTAGCCATGCTCTCACACTAGGTTCTCCAGCCCG